GTGCAGGTGAGCGGCTGGAGGGGGAGCTGGGGCGTCGCAACCGCGGGCCAGACTCGGAGCTGGTAGTCATGCGGCGGTTGCACCTGTCTGAGCGCCGTGACTCTTTCAAGAAGCAGGAGGCTGTGCAGGAGGTGAGCTTTGACGAGCCACTCGAGGAGGCCGCCAGGCTGCCTGCTGTGATGCCTCAGATCGCAGTCGAGGGCGCGGAGGCTGTTCCCGGAGCCCTGGGGCCCACTGAGAAGGACTGACCCCTCACTCTGGCCTGGAAGTGGTGCGTTTTTTGTGCAAAGTTTGTCCAGTCAGGTGACACCTGGATGGAGACTAAGCCACCAGCCTGCGACTCCAGAAGGCGGAGGCGTCACGCTTCTTGCTGGAAGGTGGAGTCAAGCACCTGCATGTTTTGGTGCCATCGGTCAGGGGCTGTAGGGCAGGAGTGGGAGACGAGGGTGGCACTGTAAATAGCAGCAAATCCCTGTGAGTAATTTATTACTTTTTTTTTTTTAAGTATAAGAGGAAGTTTGTTCAGAAAGTTAGAGGCAAAAGAAAGGTCCTTGAAAGAAAGGGGCTCAGGGAACAAGTTACAGAGGCAAAAGAAGGGCCTTTGGGAGAGAAAGGTGAAGGTAGCTTGTTTGGGGGAAGAAGAGGGAAAGGGGCAGGCGTGCTCCTCGGGGGGGGGAGAGCAAACCTCATGTGTTGCTTTTTGTCACCGGAAGCCAGACGGGGCTGCCAGGCTGCCACCCCTGGCATCTGGGACCCTGTTTGCAGGCCCTGCCTCTGGGGCTCTGAAGGAAGCACTTTGGACAAGTCACATGTGTTCGTGTTTTATCGTTTTTCTGTATTTTTAACATTTTTTTGTTTGTTTTTTAAGTTTTTTTGTGTTTTACTTGATCCCATCCCTGACCCAAGACTCACCGATGGGGACGCTTGTTTGGGCCCAACTTGGATGTGACTTGGAGAGACTAATTGATTCCCCTCCACCATGAAACAGAGTCATCCCCATGATGATCTGGATGCTGCAGGCTGCCTCCCACCATCACAGCCTCCATCTGTAGACCAGCCTGGCTAGAGTCTGCCTCTAGTCCTTTGGGCTTAGGGGATGTGGGAACTGGGGCTTTAATGGATGAGTAGTTCACCACATCTAGGCAGAGGGGTCATCCACTCCCCTGGGGGACACTAATGCCCCAGGAGGCAGAGGCCTCAAAGGGCACTGCCAGAGCAGAAGGATGTCCACCCTGGACAAGATTTCACATGTTCGATGCTGATCAAGTGAGCACAAGAACATGCTGTGTCTGAAACACCCTCTGACGGTCCCTCAATGTGTCAGAGCCTCCCTGGGGTGAAACTGAGCCGAAAACCCAAACGGGGGGTAGTGAAGTCTGCGTTTGAACCTTGGCTTCACTGTTTGGCTCTGGGAAAATGATTGCTCCACTCTGTGCCTGAGTTTCCTCGTGTTTACAAAACTAATCCCAGTGACTTTATTAAGCACCTACTATGTGCCAAGGTCTTTTACTCATGTCTTGTCCCTCAGCCAGCCTTGGGAAGGCTGGAGCTGGTGTCATCACCCCCATTTACAGACAAACAACGGAGGCCTGATGAGGGGCAGTGGCTTGTCCCACAACTGCCTGGTGAGGGTCATGCAGCCAGGCCCCGCTGTGGGCCTTGTCAGCAGGGGAGCCTGAATGCAGTCTGACGTCAGATACAGCTGGCTCCAGCCAGCCTGTGTCGCGTGTTGCGGTGTGACCCAGGGGGGCATCTCAGAGCTGTTTCCCATTGGGAGGTGGCTGGCAAGATCGCTGTGCCCCACATGGCTTCGGGCATTTCCCCCACATCCTGCAGCCTGCTCGGAGTCCTCCCGCCCCTCCCCCAGCACTGCCTAAGTGTTGGAGCTAGACCCAGGCTGTGCATGACTTGCTTCTTCCATCACGGAGCTGACAGTGAATAAAACCCACATTGACAAAGAGGAGGTCCAATGTCTGAATTTGTGACCCGGGGCCAAAAATGAGTAAGGGGAGAGTGGGGTGGGGGCGGGGTGAAACAGACCCTGGGCTCAAAGTCATTTAAAGTGGGTTTTGAATGCTGTGTAGGAGTTCGCTGAGATTCTCTCTGATGGTGCCTCTGGTCCTGGCCGCCTGCTGCCCTCTCCCTGTGAGCACCCATCCTGCGCTCTGCCCTTAAAAGTTTCATTCAGACACCCGTCCAGGGCCCTGGGCTCTGTTAATAAATAAACCATTTCTGCATCCTTTTTTAAAAAAATTTTATTTCAGAGAGGAAGGGAGAGAAACATCAATGATGAGAGAGAACCATTGACTGGCTGCCTCATGCGGGCCACACTGGAGATACAGCCGGCAACGGGGGCATGTGCCCTTGACTGCAGTCGAACCCGGGGTCCTTGAGTCGCAGGCCAATGCGCTATACACGGAGCCAATCCAGCTAGGGCTCTGTGTTCTTTTTATACTTGCTTAGGCTGTGCCCTAAAATGACCCCATCTCCACCCAAACCCAGCTTTGCCGAATGCGTCGGTTACTTACTGAGCTCTACTCGGGGTCAGAAACCTTTGGCCACGCCCCCGTTTCCGAGTGTCCTCGGCCACTTGCCGAAAACAGTTGTCTGCATTTGGTCTGGTGTTGGGCGTGTTCTCGCGCTAGCTGGGCAGGAGTAGGTTCAGCTGCTTCCAGACGCCCTGGGTTGCCATGGAAACGCCTTCAAACCCGGGATCCTCAGGTCACCGAAACTCCGCGGTCTCGGGGCTCAGGCCTACCGCAATGCTCTTGGCCAATTCCCGAATCGCTGGGCGTCTCTAAGCTCAGCCGAACCCAGCCGAACCCAGCTCAGAATCACTCATCTGACCCGATGGTGCTCAGCCATTTCCGGGGTCACTCGGGAACTTCTAAGCTCAGGCGAGCCTAGCTGAGCCCAGTCTCGGGATCAGTCGTCTGGCCCAATTGCGCTCGGCTATTTCCAGAATCGCTCGGGTGTCCTTAAACCCAGGCTACGCTCCGGAACGCGCACATGACCCGATCGCGTTCGGCTGTTTCCGGAAATGTTGACTGTCTCGGGGACACCCTACCTACATTCTCCAGTCCCGCGGGAGTACGTTCGGCTCTTTCCGGAAGCCCTCAGCCGTCTCCAGGCTCCTCCTCAGCCTCCCTTCTCCCGCCCGACCCGAATCTGCTCGGCCATTTCCGCCGGGGGTGGGCCCGGTCATTCGGAACCGCGGCGGCGGAGGCGGGGATCCCGCGGTGGCGCTGACGGCGACCGTGGTGGAGCCACGGGTCAGGCTCGGCTCCGCGTTCCGGCCGCCTCGGCGTCGGCGTTAGTGGTCACGACCAGTAAGTCCGGGCCGGCCGGCGTGACAGACGGGGCTGGGGGTGCGTGCAAATGCGGGCGCCTAGGCTGAGTTCGGCCCGTGGGACCTGGGGGGACCACAGAAAGCGGGAGGCCTCGGGCTCAACCTGGCAGCCGTGCAGCCACCCGCACGGAGGGGGCGGATCGGGGGCCTCCAGGCAAAGATAAGGGACTGGAGCCTTGGCCAGGAATGGAGGGGGGCCCTGCTGGGAGTGGGGCGTCAAGCAGAAATGAGGGTCTCCAGGCATTATGTGAGCATAGTGAGGTACGAGGGTCGGGATTCGGCTCCACTTCCGGGGCTCCACGCAGTCCTGAGTGTGCGTCTGGACACTCATGAGCGCGCAGGCCAGCCATGAGCTCTGCGTCCAGCCGCGGAGCCCCTGCCAGGCCTGGCTCCGCTACCCCGCCTCTTGGATTAGGGGAGCCTTGGTCCCTGGTGCGCACACCGGGCGTGTGCAAACGAGTGCAGACAAGCGAATCCAGGCGGTTTTCCAAACGTCCCCTCTCTGGACCTGTTTCCCCACCTGTAGCATGGGGATACAGGGGCCAGGGAGCGGGTAAGTTGGGGGGGCCCCCGGAATGTGGAGCCTCTGCTCTCTTTTCCGCTCCTCCTAGGGCTCTGGTGGTGGTGGTGGTGGTGGTGGTGGTGGTGGTGGTGGAAGAATGCTCCTACCCTCTAACCCTCTGCCGGGCAGAGGTCCTGCATGGTCGGTGACAGTCTTAAAGCCATCCCAGCAACTCCCCACTTTCAAGCCTTTGCATGTGGCCAGTGCCTGCTTCTGTCTTTAGTGGGGTCCTGCCCTCTAGAAAAGCACCCCCCCACCCCCACCTCTCAGAAGGACTGAACCTGCAGAGCTGAGACTGGGAATGTGTGTTTGCTGAGCTGTCTCCCTGACGGGACTCCAGGGGGCTGGTCATCGCCCTGCAAGCAGCAGCCTCTCCACGGGCAGCTGCAGTGCCCTCCTGCCAGCCACCTTCACCCTGGGGCTGAGGTCTTCTCAACCTCCCACCGCCCTGCTTATGTTCTGAGCACCTACTGTGTGCCCTGCACGGAGTCAGCCAGGACCCCTGTTCATTTGTTCATGTCTCCTTTGCAGAGATCAGAGATCCCTGTGCCTGTGGGAAGGTGGGGTGAGTAATCTGCTGGGACCTCCTTTCCTACCTCTTTGTGCCCCTACCGCCTCCTGTGCTCAAATGGCCCGAGCCCTCCTCAGGGCTCCCAGGGCACCCTGAGCACTACCTGCTCTGAGCCTAACTAGCTGGCCATGTGGCTGCTACCTGCTCTCATCCATCCTGGGCCTTGAAGTTAGGCAGACCTGGGGTTTTGAGTCGTGGCCTCCTGGCAGGACAAAGACCTCCCCGCCCTTAGCTTCCGTTTTCCCATCTCTAACAAAGCTTGTGTACCCTGCATACAGTACATCTGGGCCAGGTACCCCAAGGAACAGCTATTATTGCACCTACTTTATAGCTGGGGAAACTGAGGCCCAGAGAGAGACAGGAAATAGCCCAAGGTTACCAAGTGAGTCAGGGCATTCCAACCCGGGATTTGGGCCTCTCTCTGAGTTGGGGGTGGGAGGAGTCCGACCTGGCTTACGCTGCCATGCCCCTGCCTTGCCTGTCTCCCCCTAGGTCAGCATCCCCTGGTCCCCAGCCGAGCATGGTGACAGCCTGTGCCCTCGGCCCTCTCATGTGGCACAGCTGGAAGAACCGCCAGCCTCGGGCGCCGACAGCCTACCACGTGAGGGAGTGAGGGAGTGAGGGAGTGGCCTGGCCCAGTCCAGCCCTTCGGATTGAGGGGGCTTCGCAACAACTGAGTGACCGGAGAACACACTGCCGATCCCCTCCCACCAGTTGGCGAACGATGGGCAGAGCAACGAGTGACCCTTGTGAGGGTCATGCAATAACGACAGGAAACAAGGCATGAGCATCCCCCGTAGTCACCTGTAACTTCTTGCTGGAAATAGAGGTCTGGGCACCTCAAGCCAACCCAGTGGACCCACCTGCCCCCACCCAGCTGATGGGGCCACTGGGGCCCCGTGCAGCCACCTGACCACACAGACCCCCCTGCCCACCATGGCTGGCGCTGAGGGCTTCCAGTACCGTGCACTGTACCCGTTCCGCCGGGAGCGGCCAGAAGACCTGGAGCTGTTGCCGGGTGACGTGCTGGTGGTGAGCCGGGCCGCCCTGCAGGGGCTGGGTGTGGCCGAGGGCAGTGAGCGCTGCCCGCAGAACGTGGGCTGGATCCCGGGCCTCAATGAGCGAACTCGGCAGCGCGGTGACTTCCCTGGCACCTACGTGGAGTTCCTGGGGCCTGTGACCCTGGCCCGGCCTGGCCCTCGCCCCCGCGGCCCCCGCCCACTGCCTGCCAGGCCCCAAGAGGGGCCCCCTGAGCCAGGTGAGCTGTAGGCAGGGACTCTGTCAGGGATGTGTAGGGGGGTCCCCTTAGACCCTCCGTTTCCTCTTCAGTAGGCAATGGTGCCCCTTCCGGGGAAGGAGGAATAAGGACGTTTAGTCGGTTGACAAGTGTTGACTATGCTGCTGTCAAGGCCTGGACGCAGCTCACAGTGTTGGGAACACAGGGTAGACACAGGCCTGGCCCTGCCCTCGTGGGCCTGGTTCAAGAAATGAAAAGATTGTGATTAGCTGACAACAAAGGCTGTAAGGAAGGAGCTGGGGGTGACGGGCTCTAGGCAATGGGCCTAACAGGGACAGAGTCCATGAGGTGGGAATGTCATGGGTTCAGGGAACAGGGGCCATGCTTTGAGGACCTCATGGGATGAATTCTGAAGACAGTGGGGAGTTTTTAGTAGAATTCAGAGGCTCAATTTAGCTTCATTCTATGGTTTGTAGCCAGGGTTCCTTGAGGCACCCGCTTTGTTACCCTGATTTTAGCTGGTTTCCAAAACGAAGGGAGCCATGAAACCAGAAAGGGTGGACGCTCAATGGAGGCCATACAGCAGGTGCAGTGTGGGACACCACCCCTTCCCGAAAGACCCTCGGCCATCCCCCGTCTCGAGGGTGTGCTGGGAGTAGAGACTCATGGACCCTGAGTTGAAATTGCTGTATGCTGGGCCAGCGGGTCGGGGGTGAGTTCTGCCGTGGAAATCAAGGCTCAGCTTGTGGGGAAGAGACTGATGAGCGCTGAGTGCCCAGCATGGTCTGCTCTAACCGCACAGCAGCCCAGGGAAGCCCGTGTACAGATGGGGAGACTGAGGTGCAAGGGGGTCAGATCACTCTCTCAGGACCACCCAGTGAAGGCGAAGTCCCTGGGACGTACCATGGCCCCCGCCCACGACCTGTCTGGTTTTGTGCCAGAGGGACACGGGTGCCCACAGAGGGCGGAATGGGGGCACCAAGGCAGTGTGCTGCTAGCTTGGGACTTGCAGCATCTGGTGTCTCCAGGGCCTGGGCCTGGGCCTGTGTCCTGTGTTGGCCTGGAAGAGCAGGAGGTGGCCCCATCCGGGCTCCCAGCCAGAATCTGCCTCTCTCCCTGGTAACAGCCGCCTCCCTCCTCTGCCTGGCCCAGGTCCAGCCTCCACACACATCCCGGCTCAGGGCGGTAGCCCTGCCCTCCAGATTTTCCAGGCTGGGTGCCTTGGTGGGGAGGGGCCTCTCTAAACCTCAGTTTCCTCATCTGAAAACAGGGAGAACTGGTCTCTTTGTGCCTTCAGACCCTGCCCCAGCGGGATCCTGGGACCACCAGCCCCGGGGAGCATGCTGGGGCTGCATTGTTTCCTCCGTCCCGTCCCATGCAGGGTGCCGAGTGCAGCACCCCAGTGTCACCTGGGCTGTGCACCCACGGTGAGGCTGCTCCCTCTCTGAGCCTCAGGTCCTCGTCCATAAAACGGGGTGATGGCTGTTCTGATGGAACCTCCCTCCCCGTTTCACAAACCGGTCACAGAGCCATGGCAGCCCCACCTTCTCTCCCCTTGTTCTTTCACTTTTTTAATTTTTGGGGCTTTCTCACTGTAGCTGGGCTTTTCTCCAGCTTGAAGCACCACCTGGCCCATCACTCAAGGAGGCCCCACAGGCCCCGGCTTGCCCCTGTGGTGTGCCAGGGCGTCCCTGCCGAAGGCCAGAACCGCATCCAATGGTGTCCATGCAGGCGGAGCGGCTGAAAACAAAGGGCCCCCTGGGAAGCTCAGAGCCTGAAGGGGCTGGGCCAGGGAGGCCCCTTCCCCTCTGGGGGTGATTTCAGCATTTTTAAATGAGGGCAGGGGTGGGAGATAATTTTTTCGAGGCAAAATGACTTAGAAAGTAGAGGAATGTCTTTGGAGTGAGGTGTCCTGGCCTAGATGGGGATATTTTCCCTTTAGACTCGGCCAACCACGTTGTTAATCCACTAAAAAGGGAGAGATCATGTCAGTTTCTCAGTTGAGGAGACTGAGGCCCAGAGAACGTGGTTCCTGCGCTTGAGGTGGCACAGTGAGCAGTGGCAGGGGCTGGGACCTGCTGTGTGAGTTTCCTGGGGCCACGGTCACAGACTCCCACAAAACAGGTGGCTTCAAACCACAGAGTGTGTTTTCTCAAGGTTCGGGAGGTCAGAAGTCCAAGACCGAGTGTCGGCAGGGCCACACTCCACGGGGAGGATCTTTTCTGCCTCTTCCAGCCTCTGGTGGCTCCAAACATCCTTAGCTTATGGCCGCCACGTTACCCCAATCTCTGCCTCTGTTATAATATGGCTTCTTTTGGCTCTCTTTTATTTTTTAAGTTGATTTTAGAGAGGGAGGACGGGAAAGAGAGAAACATCCATGTGAGAGAGACACATCAATGGGTTGCCTCCCATATGCATCCCAACCAGGAATTGAACCCACAACCTAGGTATGTGCCCTGACGAGGAATCGAACCCACAACGTTCTGGTTGACACTCCAACCAACTGCGCCACACTGGCCTGGGCACATGGCTCGCTTCTTATAGCTACCAGTCATGGCATTTAGGGCTCTAAACTCACAAGATTTCATCTCAAAGTCCTTCCCTTAATTGTACCTGCAAAGACCCTATTTTCAAATAAGGTCCCAGTCACAGGTACTAGGGATTAGGATGTGGACATCGTGGTTTTTTTTTTTTTTGGGGGGGGGGGGGACACTAATCAAACTACTACACCTGATCTGAGGCTGTGTGACTGATACCTTGACCCAGAAAATTGTTTGCTGTTAACTTGGTCCTCCCACCCTCAGCCACAGGGCCTCTGGCTTTCCCAGGGTAGTGGTCCAGATGCCAGGCCCTTGCCTGAGCTGGGCCCTGCCTGGAGCTGCCCCAGCCGAGATGCAGCTGGCCAAGAAAGGGACCAGGGTCCTTCTGGGGATCCTGCCAACATGCTGCTGTCCCCTCTTGCCAGGCCTCACACTCCCTGACCTACCTGAGCAGTTCTCCCCACCTGATGTGGCTCCCCCACTGCTGGTAAAGCTTGTGGAGGCCATTGAGCGGACAGGTGAGCCTGGGCCTTGATGCAACCCCTGCATTCTGCTTGCTTAATTCTGGTGATGGGCGACTCATCCCTTAACAGGGCTGCTGGGCTCCCTCTGCATGGGAAAAGGCTGAGCCCAGATGCTCTGGGCCTCCTTGTTGAACTGGGGAAGGAATGGCTCCCAGGGGAGATGGGACCGCCCTGGCATGTGCCGCGTCCTCTGCCCCCCTCCCCCTCCCCCACTCCTATATGGGATCAGAGCAGCATTTGACAGATGTCTCACTCCTCCCCCACCAGGGCTAGACAGCGAATCCCTCTACAGGCCCGAGCTGCCGCCCCCGTGCACAGGTGAGGGAGTGCTTCCACAGATGGGGGGACAGGGAGTAGACCCCAGCAGCCCCACAGACATCGCCCTCCTGCACCCACAGACTGGTCCCTGAGCGACCTAGAGCAGTGGGACTCGGCAGCCCTGGCCGATGGCATCAAGGGCTTCCTGCTGGCACTGCCTGCGCCCCTTGTGACGCTGGAAGCGGCTGCAGAGGCCTGCCGTGCCCTGCGAGGTGAGCCTTGTGGGGAACCCTGGGCGCGGAGGGGCCGGAGCGGAAAAGCCCAGCTCACCCCGCTTTGC